TGCACCTTGTTGATCAAGACTTGGGTCATGAGCGTCGAAGTGGTGGTACCGTCGCCTGCAATGCTGTCGCTCTTGCTGGCCACGGCTTTGATCAACTTTGCCCCCACGTGCATGGCCGGATCGGGCAGATTGATGTCGCGGGCGATGGTGACGCCATCGTTGATCACCTCCGGGTAGCCGACGTCGCGCATCAGGACCACGTTGCGGCCCCTGGGGCCCAGGGTGGATTTCACCACGTCGGCCACGGCATTGATCCCGGCAATTAGTTTTTGAGCCGTTTCGTCCCGGTAGTAGATGAGTTTGGGAGTGACTTTTGCCAGTGCAGTCACCTGTCCCCGCGCACGGCGGGCGGGGGATACGGGGGCCGACATGGCTGCAGGAAAGGGTGGAACCAGAGGTGTGGAAGAGCGAAATAAGCTGTTGAGATGCGATGCATGGAATGGTTGCTACTACGTGCGGAATGGTTTAATTCACGAAGGAATCGCAGGTAGCGTCTATGTGCAGGGGGAACAACGCGACGGTACCTACCTTCAGATATACCCGTCATGGGCTTAACGAAATGAAAGGCGTAGGTTTGTCTGCAGGAGGCAACATGACCAGGATGCATTCCAATTGGCAATGCCAAAGTTCCACTGGTGCTTAGAAGGAGGAAGGTAAGGACAGAGATGGAGGAGGAAGAAAAGAAGGAGGGCGAGGACTGGCGTTGCTCCCCCCGTACAGAAAGGTCCTCCCTGCTCGCTCCTTGCCGTGGCCGCCGCATGGTCTCCTCCGTCCTCAGCCTGGTTTTTTGCCCTTTCAACCTGCAGGTGTGCCCAAGGGCGGCTTGTCTGTGCGAATGTGTGCGTTGAGACCGAAAATTGCAGAGTGAGGGGAGTGGTACGTGTAGGTATCTTTCAATACGACAACAGGTGTTCCGTGCACCAAAAGCATGCATAGAAAGCAACAGGGCACCCCGGTGCATAAATGCTATGTATTTCAAGCACCGTCTTCGTCGACAGCCTCCGTACGGCGTTCTTCGAGATTTTGATTGGCTTGAAGGGGGCTATAACCATGGTCCATGTTAAGTTGACTTTCCCGAGGAATGAGCGGTGAGGACAACGCCGTCCCAAAAGTTGCCACCCCAGGCCTTTTACACCAAGACACAACAGCGTTGTCCTAATGTAATCTAAACCTTTCCTTCTCTCCGTGAACGGAAACATTTCTTGTGGCAGTGCAGGCATGATGTCACGGTCAATAGTCGTGTTTGGGCACTATTGCTCCTAGAGCGTCATGCCGATCAGCGACAGGGCAGGCGCAGAGGCCTTTTCTAAATGCCATGACTACTTGGTACTAATACAACGCTGAATTTTGCCTTTGCCTTTCCCACACAATATGCAGAGATCCGTTTGTTACATGCGATGGGTACCCCTTCTCCTCCGGTCTCGAACGCTTTGTGGGAAGTGGACCTGACACAAGAAGAGGCGTACCACCCTACTCCCCATGGTTCTTCCGTCCCTCTCTCGGTCGAACCCTTAACAGCAAAAAGCCATCACCACCGCTCGTCTCCTCCCCTTCCTACGCATCACGGACAAAAAGATATAAAACACCAGCCGCGATCGCAGCAAGGGCGGCCGTCGGCACTCACCCTGGCCACCTTGCTGCAACGCGCAGCATGGGCCGGAGATCGATGTCTCCAAGGTGTCGATTACATTGGAGAAAGCATGGCCGGGTTTTTGGGACTGATAGACTCACGGTTCCAGTACATTGTCGATAACATCTCTGAGGAAGACAAGGAAGCGGCCGAGGAGGACTTGAGGTTGAGGCGGGAAGGAAGAAAGGGAGGAAAAGGGGAGGGCGGGATGCTGCTGCTGCATGAGTTGAATGCGGTGGAAGGGAAGGTGGATACCGGGGGGAAGGATGGAGCGGGAAAGGAGATTGGAAAGGAGGAAGATCGATCGGCAGAGGTGTGAGCACATTGCCAGGAGTTGGGGGCACGAAGGACATGAAAGAGGCACATTCTCCCTCCAAAAAAGAGAAAAAAGGAAAGGAACGGTGGCTGTAGCAAAGAGAGCCCTCAGGTTTATCTCATTATCTATACCCGGCCTCCTCCTCTTCCTCCCCCTCTCCCTCTTCCCCGTCTTCCCCTCTTTCCCCCCTCTTTCCCGCCCCCCGCACCACCAGGCGAAAAAAAAGAGGGCATACCGA